GTTGGCTTGCGAACTAGGGGCCGCGGTCGGACGTGATAGACTGTGGAAGGCTGTGGTGGCGGTAGACTTCTCGTACGAAAGCCCAAGCAACGTCTGTTGTCTCAATCTTGTTCATAGGGACTAGTACGACGCTTTCCCTAATTAGTCCTTTACTACCATCAAGTTCGTGTTTCCAAGAGAGTTAGGAAGGCCTGTAATAAAATTAACTGTGAGGTGCTGCCACGTACGACTAGGCACAGGTAGGGGCTTTAAGTAACCAAACTTTCCGTCCCGCCAGGGAGTGCTTTTGCGGCATAGCTCGCAGTTCCGTACGAAGCGTCGTATGTCATCGCTCATGTGAGGCTAGTACCATTCTCGTGCAACGATCTAATAGGTCTCTTCTCGTCTAGGATGTCCAGTTAGGAGAGATAAGTGAGCCACTTGGATAACTCCTGTGCGTAATGGTTCAAAGTCTAGTACCCACACACGTCCACGCCATTAGAGTCGTTCTTCTTGGTCAATCGTACAGTCACTTAGCGAGATAGCAATCTTGCGCGTGCTAGAGAGCGATCGTCTTCCTTCTCGTACGGCGGCTAGTACTTCTTAGTAGATAGTGTCATCCTGCGCTGCCTGTACCCAATGTTCTCGTACTAAAACTAGAAGGTCTGGGGGTTGAGGTAGTGTTTCTGACACTAAGGAGGTTTCTTGAGTCTGTACGGGTAGTGCTAGGACGTAGTCTGGCGTATAAGCTGGGACTAGCATTGTGAATTCACGAGAGGAGGCATGCTCGTCCCCTTCGTCCTTAAGCATATCTTGATCTTGGCGAGATAGCGCGTCTGCTCTTATGTTATCCTTGCCTGGACGATAGCGCAACTTCATGTTTAGGAAGCGAGCAAGCTCTAAGTTCTATCGTACGTGGCGTTCAGAAAGCTTCTGCTTGTGGGTGAAGTATTCTAAGTTCTTGTGGTCTGTAATAACTTCAAACTCTCGTACGCTACAGAGTTTAGCGTCCTATTCTTTTAAGTAGTAGATTACTGCTAGCAGTTCCTTATTATAGATGGGGTAATTAGCTTTGTGTGTAAGTAGTTTCCTAGAGAGATAAGCTACTATACAGAGCGTGCCTTCATCATCTTCTTGTAGGAGTACGGCTCCTAAGGCTCGACTAGAAGAATCACATTCTACTACTGTATGGCGTTTGGGGTCGAATGCGACGAGTACTTCGTCTGAAAGGAATGCTTCTTTAAGAGCTGCGAAACTCTCTTCTTGAGCAGCGCCCTATTGAAACTTAGCGTCTTTCTTGGTGAGTTGTACGAGAGGGTCTACTAAACGTGAGAAGTAAGGAATAAACCTTTAGTAAAAGTTGGTGAATCCTAAGAAACCTCGTACGCCTTGGACGAACGTGGGGGGTTCCTATTCTTGGATGGCTTTTGTCTTCTCTAGGTCTATTAAGACACCTCTCTCTGCTTTAAGGATAAACCCTAAATACTTCGTACGTTGAACGTTAAATTCGCACTTATCTAATTTAAGTTGTAGTTCTGCTGCTTGTAGTCGTTTGATCACTTGTTGTACGTGGGTATAGTGTTAAGATAGAGAGCCGTCCGTAAAAATCAAGATGTCGTTAAGGTAAGCAGATACAAAGTCGTCTAGTAGGTCCCGTAAGATCTAATTAACGTAGCGCTAGAACGTACTTAGAGCGTTGGCTAGACTAAAGGGTGTGACTAGCCATTCGTACGAGCCAAATCTCGTCTAGAAGGCTGTTATCCATTCTTGTCCTTTAGTAATCCGTATTTTGTGAAAAGCAGCAGACACGTCTAGCTTAGTATACCACTTAGCTCGTCTAACTTAGTTTAGGGTCTTATGGATTAGAGGGAGAGGGTATTAGTCTTTTCGCGTAATAGCGTTAAGCGCATAGTAGTCAACGTAGAACCTTAGTCCTCCTCTAGGCTTCCGTACGAAGAGGACTGGCGACGCTGCAAAAGAGGTGCTTACACGAATAAAACCCTTGTTAAGCAGATCTAGGAGTGTCTTCCTTAGGACTAGTAGTTCGTCTCTAGACATGCTATAGAGCGGTCCGTACGGGATCTCCGGTAGCTTGCCATCTTGGGGAATTAATTCGATTTTGTGGTCTACGTCTGGGCCTTAGTGGGGTGGTAACTCTGCTCCCTCTTTTAGCAAGAAAAGCTGCGCGTAGTCCTTAAGGTATGTAGGGAGGGCTTTCTTTACTTCGTCTATTGTGAGTTTTGCTTTTGGACGGAGAGCTTTCTTAATGTCTTTTAGACTAGCCGCGAATACCTGCACTACCTTCTGTCTTCTATTTCTTCGTACGTGTAGTTGGAAAGCAGCAGTAGTGATAGCAGCACAGTCTATCTGCGTGGGCGTGGTGCTCTCTCTACTTTGTACGGAGAATCCGTAGCGTCGTAGGAGCAGGCGGTGCTCGGCAGTGTACAGTACTCTGTCCATCTCTTCCAACCAGGTCTTTCCAAGGATCATGTCAAACTCGTACGTAGATGAGATAATGTACGCTGCTACTTTTCGTTTTACCCCTCCTATGTCGAGTATAAACTCTGTCACTCCTTGTACAGGACTTGTCTTTTTATCTACCATTGCTAAGAGGGTGGATGAGATTGTGTAACGCGGCAGGTTTAGTTGTCGTACGAGCTTGTCACACACAACTAAATATGTGCAACATCCATGGTCAAGCATTGCGATAGCATTCCTTACACCATTTACGACTACATCTATAGACATTGCTTTTGTAGTCTTTAATAGTTCAAGTATCCTATGCGGTGCTCGTACGACATCTCTTTCCTGCCTTGTTCGCTCTAACCAGCGCTTTTTGGTTAGAGCTCTTCTTTTCCCTCGTCTAAGTCATCCTCTATAGGTGCTATAGTAGCCACCTTAGTATAGTTTCCTTGTTCATGCGTACGAGTAGTAAGAGGAGTGTTGCAGTCTCTGCAACAGTGTCCTTGTCCGCCACAGCAGAGACAACGTCTCTTTTAACAGCGTCTTTTAATTTTAGCATAGGACCCCTAGTATTCTCTTGTTATACGTGGCCTAGTTGCGCCTAAAGTAGGGGTCTAGTCTATCTCTTTAGATGCAGTCTAAGTGTCGCTAGGGAAGGGTGACGTGAAAGTTAGTCGTTTAGACAATAGTTGTTCTATCGCTCTTAGGTTTTCCTACGTAACTCTTATTCTTTGTACAAAGCTGTCGTACTTCTTGTTCTCACTAGGCTAGTAGCCTGCTTAATACTTAAGCAACTCTTTGTTAAGGGAGTTCTTTAAGTAGTTAATCTTTTAAGCGTTGTCTATAGCGCTTAGGCCTGCTTCTTAGAATTTTAAATTAAAGACTTAAACGTGATAAAGGAACTCTCCCCTTCCTTGTCTAGTCGTACGAAGGTAGTGGAGAGCCTTCTGCTTAATCGTAGGGTCTTAGAAGAACTTGTCTAACTAGGACTATAGTCCAGCTGTCGTGGCTGTTAGAGTGCTGTTTATAAGAGCTTGGACGTACGCATAGAGCGCATTAAAAGCTCGTCCTTTCGTACGTGTGATAATATAGTAGGTTTTAAGTTCCTTACTTAGGTAAGCCGCTCCGTCTGCGAAGAGCTTAGCCTATACACGCATCTTCTACTAAGTGTATTATTCATAGGTACTATAGTCAAACATGGCAGCTCAGCTAGCTAAAACCCACCCAATCGCAATAGCTATTGCTAGGCTTCAAGCAACAGACCCCCAGCAAACTAAAAAGCCAAAACAACGTAGACAGTTACTCCAGATTACGAACTCAATCCCAACTACCTACAATAGAGAGATAGAGAAGATAATCCCATACAGGTTTAGGCCATGGGATAGTCTTAACTACAAGGTTACAATCTCTAGAAAGACAAAAGAAGAAGAGGCAACTGCACACACAGCCTACATCCAATCAAGGATAGGAGACAACTTTACAGCAATCTACTCTAGACG